CTACAAAAAAAAAAAGACAATATTAAATAAATAAAACTATTTTTTTTTTTTGATAGAATAAAAAATATTATTAATGAAGGTTGAAGAGAAAACAAAAAAAGAATTTTTATCAATTATCAATGGTTCGTTTCATTAATAATTTTCAAAGATGAAATCAATCAATTCTATATACATCATTTTCTACTAAATATGACCTTCAAAAATCTATAATCTAATCGAAAGTTATATATATATAGATTTTATTGTGTGAATAAGGTTATATGTCCCCAGGATTCTCTTATTATCCATTCTTATAGTTATTTTTATACTCATTTATATATATATATATTTATACTAACCCAAGTGTTGTCATTGTAACAATAGTATACCAAAATGCTGCTGGTATAGATGTAAATTTTGTATTAACAACACTTTTTTCAGCATAATACATAACAGTAGCAAATATAATAATAGCCATTGTTAATGAAAATAATAGAAAACCAAGTTCACTAGCACAACTTTTTAATGTATAACCTAATACTCTTAAACCTTGACTATGACGTGAAAATTTAAATATACGAAAAACACGAAAAACACGTAAAGTAACAAATGCTCCACTAACTTCACCTTTTTGATGCATAAATAATCCAATATAATATGGCATTATAGCAACAACATCAATAACAGACTAAATGAAAAAAAAAAAAAAATACAAAATTGTTTTTTTTTGTTTTTTTTGTAGATTATTCTTCTTACCATAACAGATCGAACAAATTTTAATCGATCAGGTGCAGCATAAAGACGAAGAAAATATTCAACAGTAAAAATCATAACACAAGCTGTATCAAGACAAAAAAATTGACGAGAAAAACGTTCACCACATGTTCTTGAATAACCAGTATCAGGATCTGTTCCACATGATACTGTATCTAAGACATTAGCAATAACACTAACAGCAATAAAAAATCCAGTTACATAATAAAATACAGATGCCATTGTTGATATTTGAGGATTTTCAAATGCACGCCACATTGTTTCACGTATTGATTGAGGTTTTGGTTGGGCTTTATCATCATCTTCATGTAGACGATCATCAATAAGTCTTTCATTATTTTCACGTTTACGATCTCTATAATCTTCATAACAACAATCACCAATTATATCAGGTAATATACCAAAAAAAGCTAATTCTTCATCATATGCAGCAATACATTCATGTTTAGGATAATGTAATTTACCAGTACGATAAAAATTTAATATTATACGAAATACATCGGGATCACGATCAAAAAAATATTCACGTGTATCTTCATCATAAAAAAATTCTTTTTCATTTGAACCTAATAATGAATCAGGATATTTTTCTAATGTTGAACGCCAACATTCAAATCGACGACCACTAACATTTATTATTATTTTTTCATCACAACGACGTTCACCACTAGTTGTTGATGTACCATCTGTTGGAATGCGAAATGGTGGTGGTGGTAAAGGATTTTTAGCTAATGGAACCCAACCAATGGCTGCTGCTCGAGCAAATGGAAGCCATGCAGCTACACTAGCCATTTTATATTTATTGTTTTGTTACCTTGAAAGACATAAAAAAAAAAAACCAAAAACATATTTTGTTTTTTTTATTACATTATTATTTTTGTATATCATATCAATGTCAATGATCTTCTAATAAGCTAAAAGAAACTGTCGAAATTACTAAGACTATATGAATGTTAGAAATTAATAACATCTTATATAAAATTGACTCTATTAGACAATGTATTTATGTATCGAATACTTTTATCCTAATGCAGATTGATATAAATCTTGTACATATGTAATAAGATCTAATTTTTTCTGTTTACATTAAACATATGTTCATCTTTGATGTGTTTTCTCGTCATCTTATTTTCCCATCTGAGTTTTTTTCTTTTCTTCTGATTAGATATGTCTTCTTCTTCTTCTTTTTTTTTTTTGTTGTCTTATTTAGATATCCATTAATTTTATATAAAGACTAACATAAATCATATAGAGAAAACAAAGAAAAAACCGATCAAAAATAATAAATAATAATATTGATAATTGCTAATTTCTAATACAAACCTACTGTGCGATTATTTGCACCTCTCTACTTGATTCGTAACAATGAATAGCGTCTTGCTGATGTTATTTCGATTGTTATTACAAAACATTAAATTTCATAGAAGAGCAGATGTTCGTCGTCGTCGTCTATCAGCATAATACAAATAATATCTTGAAAAAAAAAAAAATAAAAATAAAATAAAGGACTGATATAAAAAAAAGAGAAAGTCGGTGTATGTGTATATACACGTTCGTATTTGTATCGTGTGAATTGGATGGTAAGAAACGGACAATAGAACAAGAAAGAAAAAAGCAAACAAGAAGAAAATGCAAAAGAAGAAGAAGAAGAATGGAAAGACGAGGAGTTCTGCTACCGCTCTGGTGAGTGTCAATTCGAAGAAGCATTACGGCTGCCAGGAACAACACACAAAGAAGAAAACGAAGAAGATGCAAGATATAGAACATTGAGAAAGAAGAGCTGACGAGAGAGAAAGAACTCGTTGTGGATAGAAGAACAGCGACAAGATATCTCAATCAATCCCTGCATGTATGGGCCGTGCATAGAGCGAACGCTATGAAGGAGAACTGGAGAGACCTTTGTGTGTATGTGTGTGTTCCATTATGATTATTTTCCGGTAGCCTCGTTTTTTTTCTGCTGTTACTACTACTCTACTACAAACATTGTCGTCATCTCGTCAAGCACGACAACCTTCAAGCCACATGTGCTTTCTCTCTCCCTTTCTCGTGTCGTTTATCGTCATCGAATGCTCAACTAGAATAACAAGCAAACGAACTGATTTTTTCTTGTTCTGTTTCCTATTTTTTTTTTCTTCTCTCTATTCACTCTTATTTTATATTCCCTTTCCTTTCTCTTTTCTACATTCATCATCTGCTAGACTCGAGTAGTAATATTGCCTTTTGGAATTTGAGAATAATTTTGATTATTGAACGAACATTGTGACATCAAGCGAAAAGAAAAAAAGAGAAACATATATATATCAATGCTTGTATACCAAAAAACAAATCAATAGTTGATGAAAGATAATATTTTGAAGAAGAAGAAGAAGAAACAAAAAATAGAGGTCAATGTATGATTACATCGATTTATCGTATTGGTAAATAGCAAAATGATAGAAACAGAAGTGTCACCATATGTTCGATATGGAAGATACTTGAATTTTTTTTCTCTTCTGTTGTTTCCATTGCTGTAGTTTTGTCAATGCAAAAAAAAAAGAAGACAAGAGTCTATTAAAGACCATTGTAAGATGATAGACAGGATACTATCCTTAGACGTAATGTCTAGATTAGTCTCTTTTCTAATTATGTGACGAAAGTATTTTAGCTAGCTTAACTGCTGATGCTCTCAAGAAACAGTAGTGACAGCAACGATAACAACAATAACAAACAGTGTGCCATATGAGAAGAAAAACAACAACATCACCACTACTTTAGCAAATGGTTGGACGATCAAGCCTATACTACTGCTTGGATGTCATTATATGTTTCCAGAATTGGTCTACTCTTGTATTTTCTGTTTTCTTTTCATGCCATTCCTAGATCAATGAATGGATGAATGGCAGTGTGTATGTGTATATATATATATAATATTCTTCTTTACTATATGCTTAACGAGGGTTTTGTCTACCCTTGGTGGTACTATTGTTACTATCTTCTGCTTTCGTCATGTTTGCTCAGCAAGATTTATCAATCAATTAATCATAATCACGAAATGCAGTCTAAAGTATAGTCAAACATTCTACTTGTTCAGTGTATATAGTTATTATTTGAACTAATCGTACCAGTACTCACGCACATAAATACACATACACAGTTGGTTTTAAATCAACAGAAGCAGAAGGAAAAAAAACACAACAACACGGAAAAAAAATGAACAGTCAATTATGCGATAAATCATTATGTTTTTTTTCCCTCTTTCTCTTTCCTTCCTTTTTTTTTGTTTGTTGATTGATATTTACCGACGTCAGCAAAACAGAATAAGAATTAAAAAAAAAAAAAAAAAGAAAAACGGTCACAAGTGGCCAACTATACTTATAGATCTCTAGAGAATTAATGTTTCAAGTTTATATTTTCTATTTGTCGGGCAACAACATTGACATAGTATCATCAGTCGGTCACATGCCTATCATCATTAATAATGAAAGCTAACAGTTAATCTCTCGACATGCTACCTATCGTGATACAAATGTCTAAAACGTCAGCTATAATTCGAATGCTAAATAAATTAGTTTAGTACAAAATTGACAAGCGATTATTTATCAAAAAAATAAAAAAAAAAAACATTATGCGCTGAGCAAATGCAAAGACTTGTTTGACCTTTTTTTTTTTGTCTTTAACAACATATGTCTATTTACGTCAATATCGCTTCTCGTCTGATGCTCGTTTCCTTGTTCGCATTTTTTTTTCCTATTATATGATTGTGCATTATTTGAGATACTAATAGTTAGTTGAGTCAAAGCAAGAGAAGGAGGAGTAGGAGGAGGAGAAGAAGCCAGAAACGGATGGATATGAAACGAGCCGAATCATGCTCAATTCAACAAAAATGAATTATACCAAGCGTAATCGATATGTGTATGAGATGCCAATGTCATAATGATTAGAATTTATACACTTGAACAAGCACAATAAAATAAATATTATTGAAGATAAGAACGAAGAGGGGAATAAAAAAAAAAAAGGAATAAGTAAACTTTATGACGACTGTATTTGTACGACATCTATTCAATACAATAAATTAAATTTATGTTCATTGGAATGAAATAAAGAATATTATGGCATTGTCGCTAATAACAATGTTTTTTTATACGTTGATATTAGCGATAAAATTTTATCATAATGACTTATTTGTTTTTTGTTCAATTCTTATTCCTTCTGTGTTTTTTTTTCCATTGAACATTCTTTACTGTTAATACATATATATATATCAAATGTCACAAAATCCAGGACCATTTCTTGTTTCATCACATGGTCATCCAGGTTTTAATCCTCGACCACAACCACCACCACCACCACCACCATCATCATCCTCATTATCATCATCATCAAAACGTATAAGTAATGGTCTTATAGGTAGTTCTAGTCCAGGTACTACATCAATTGGACCTAATATGGGTCTTTCATCATCACCATCACCAATGCGATCCACTGGTTCCATAGGTCCAATGAAAACTTCTGGTATTAATATGGGTCCTATGGATAAATCAAATACAATGCCTTATTCAAATCGTTATAGTCGTAAAGCATGGCCTATGTCACGTAATATTCATGGTAAAAAAAAAGTGATAATTTTCTTTTTGTCAAAATTAAAATAATCTATATTTAAGATAAAAATATTCGTAGTCATGATGATCATGAAACTCCATATATTCGTCCAAATATTCCAAATACAATAGATAATATGAATAATTCATCATTTACAATTGAACCATCAACAGATGATGATGAATCTGATGATATATATTTTTCATCACGTCATATAGCAGCTGCACGTTTTCAACGTAATCAACGTTTATTATGTGAAATATTTAATGAAATATGTATACCTGATTTACGATCAAATATAAATGTTGATCGTATATTAACATTACGTCGACAAGTTGATGCACTTAAAATACATCGTGAAACATTTGAAAAAGATTTAAATGAATTAGAAGATAAACATATTGATAAAAAACGAAAATTTTTAGAATTAAATGAAAAATTTCATAATGAATATGCTGATGCATCAACAATGAATTTAAGTCGAGAAAAAATTAATGAAATTTTACTTAAATATGAAACAATGGAAAAATTACAAAAAGAAAAACAATTACTTTTACAACAACAACAGCAACAACAACAACAACAGGTCGCTGCAACACCACCACCACCACCACCACAACAACCAACTCCAACTGTTCCACCATCAACTATCATTCCACCAACTAAAATTGAACCTCCACCTACTATTGAAATTCCACAACAACCAATACCACCGCCATTACCACAACCACAACCACCACCGTCACATCCTATTCCAACGCAATTACCACCACAACCTGTACCAATTCAATTACCACCTACACAATCTGTTCCAACACAATTACCACCTCAACCTATACCATCAAATCAAATACCTCCTGTACAATCATCACAACATATACCAACACCATTACCACCAACGCAAACTGTACAATCTCCCATGGCACCTTCTCAACCTACACAATCTCATTTACAACCACCACCTATTATGCAACAATTACCACCACCGCAACAAATTCCACCTCCACAACAACAACAACAACAACCACCGCCACCTCATCAAGGTTATCCGATGATGCATCAAGGTGGTGGTTATCCACCAGTACCTACTTATGGTCATCCGCAACAAGCTCAACAATATCGACCACCAATGAATCAACGTCCAGTTCAATATCCACCGAATGTTCAATGGCAACAACAACAACAACAACCACCTCCACCACCACAACAACAACAACAATGGCAACCTAATGCATATGGTAATAATATCTTAACAAAATTTGTTATTAATTAAAAATTCTCACATGTTTTCTTCAGAGATTGCAAAGACTAGAAATTTCCTTTTCCTTTCAATAATATTCTACATTTCATTTTGTGTAGGTTTTTTTTTCTTCAAACATATTATTTCTAGAGTTCCGTAAAAGCGTAATACTGGAAGCACCGTCAAAAAATTTCTTTTTTCAATGGTATTAATGTAACACAAGGAAATAATATTTTGAAGAAAAGAAAGAAAACACGCACCTAGATTTAAATCTAATTGCTATGTTTGCAGCAATTTTAATTAGAAGAAATATTGCATATAAAGAATAATTATATTACGAGTTTTCTAAAAGTTTGATTAACCCTAGATTTAATAGGTTCTAGTTGAAAGTCTTTTACTAGACATAAAAAATATATATATTAATTAGAAATTATAAAAGCCTACTTTTAGTTTTTTGTGTTCCGAAAAGTTTGTAATTGAATTATCATAAGATAATAATAATTTTGTAGATAAACCAAAATATATATGATCACGTTTTATATTTTATTTTATCATTATCTAATACATTTGGTTAAAAATATAAAATACACCATAAGATGCAGCATGAAAGGCTCTTAAATACAAAGTTATTTTGTTTGTTTTTTGGTACATGAGAAATTTCTATTCTGATTTTTTTCGATTAATGTGTCATATGGAAGGCCATAATCGATGGACACAATTGATATAGGTTTCGATTATATATTTTTTTTTTTGACTCTAATGTGATTCGTTCGAGAGAAAGAGAGAGAGAGAGACATACAAACTTCATAGTAACAAATTATATTTGTATAAGTATGTAAGTTAATAAAAAGAATTGCAATTTGAAAACCTATAAAAAATGATTATGCAAATAGTATATGTTAGATGATGAACAACCAAAATATGAAATATGTCTTTTTATTATTTTAATTTAATATCAATTAAAAATTAAATCTTTTTCTGTAAATTGAAGATCCTCGATATTATCATCCATATCCTCCTAATGTTCAATGGCAACAACAACAACAATGGCCACCAAATCAACCTCCACCTCAACAACAACAAATGGGTATGATGCCACCCCAACAACAACAACAACAACAAGTACCACCACCACAGACACGTCCTCCACCTCAACAACAACAACAACAACAACAACAACCACCACAGATGTATGTCAACGGTGTTAATTATGGTTATGGTGGTGGTCCAGTTGGTTGGAATGGTGGTCCACCACCACCTCCACATCCATCTCAACAATATGGTTATCCACAAAATCCACCTTATGATCCATCAGGTGTACCCGGACCTCCACAACAACAATATTATCCACCACCACCACAAGGTTATGATTATGGTCCACCACCACCTCAACAACAACAACAGCAAGCTCCTCTTCCTCCTCCTCAACAACAACCACCACCACAAATGAACTGAGAATTATTCAAAAAAAAAAAAGAAATTTTTTTTTTCTTTGTTTGTTATATAGGAAGTTTTTCTTTATCTGTACAAAATGAAAATATTTGTCTGTATATCTTCAAAAGAAAATATTACATTCGTTATGTTCTAGATTTGTTGTATTATGCCATTAATTTGACTATATCTTATTATAATACAAAAAAAAACAATCGATTATAGACAATTTAGTTTAAGTTAAGATATGGAAGATTAACAATGTTTACTTGATCTCTAATATACATTTTTAAAAGTTAAACGATCTTTTTTGTACTTAGTAAATAATAAATGAGGTTTAATTATCTATGTAGCATCAGCTGTTGTTATTGTTTGCGTAATGCATTAGTAATTACTCAAAAATAACCTTCAGATCAATGAAAAATGATTTAACATTCTTTTTTTTTTCTTTAGAATGATTTGAAATATGTGATATTCTTGTTGTAATAATTTTTCTGTAGATAATAAAAATAAATATACTTACCGATAATGGTTAGACATTCTACGAAAAAAAAAACATAATGAATTATTAACATATATATATATATATATAACAATCAGTATGATTCAAAATGATTTCAATAATATGGTTAGAACGAAATTTCCCAAGAGATATTTCTTTAAGATTTCCACTTGGAAAATAATTTATTATTTTTAGAAAAAAAAATATTCACTTAACAATGTGCTAGTAATAAGAAGCTAGGAGAACATAAATATATAAACATTTCTTTTTTTTCTTTTTTTGTAAAATATCAAATTATTCACTGATATAATTAGTTTATATGAAAATTATTTTTTTTTTTTTGTAATCATTTCATATAAATATTTTGCATATCGATAAAGTGTTTTATACTAAATTTTATAATGTTTATTTGTCCTTGACAATTGCAAGATAATTTTTTTATAAATAGCGATTAATTTCATTCGTTCAAGATTTCATATGAATATATTCCTAAATGATAATTAAATTAATACTCTTAAATATTATAATAGAAAATTTTCTATTTATAATTAACTTATCTATAAAATGATATATATTCTATGAACGATTGATTATTTTCTAATTTTGAATTTAATATAATAATAAGAACTTATGAACTAAATATTTCTTTTGTATCTTTAAGTTTTATTCATATATCATGATAAACTTTCTGACAATATATTATATCTAAATGACTCCTTTTCTTTCTTTTTAACATTCATCATCAATGATAAATTACTATATAAGTCCATTAGTTTCAAGACAGCAATTATATAATCATAAAGAAAAAAAAAAAAGTAATTCACACAAACTTTTCTCTATTTCAACATCATGGAACAGCACATACAAAGCTTCTACAAAAGTTTGCATAAACTTTATGTTCAAAAAAAAAAAAGTTAATTTAGTTCTTCATTTTAATATTATAATATCGATCAAATATATATATAAGCGTCTTACAAAAGTCAATGCATATATGTATATATACTTGTGCATGTTCAAGCATATTCCTATTGACCCTCAATTACTCTTATACTATGTTTACTTTGAGCATTAAAATGTCCTTGTGAACAGCCAAAGAGAATGAGAGCCAGGGACAAACGAAAAAGAGAAGAACTTTTTTTTTTTCTACTGACAAGTATGAGCAGATACAAGAACAACAAAAAAAAAAGAAAATGACGAAAGAAAGAAAAATGTACAAACAGTTTTTGCATAATCACTTTCATATATATATATATATACAATTTGAGACGCATGTATCTTCAATTTCATCGTATAACAAAAAAAAATGCATTCGTTTTTCTTTTGTATTCTCGTATGTAAATAAAATGGCCTTGACAAAACGGACACGTTTTATACTTGTACAAAGTACAAGTAATTCTAATGTTACTGAAGATAATATGGAACCATATCATATAAGTATATTTCGACGTTCAACATCAATGCCACCTCTACCAAAATTAAGATCAAAGAAAATTAATAATTCTCAACATGAACAACAACAGCAACAACAATCTATTGGAATTTCAAAATATCAACGATATGAAAAAGATGAAACATTAACAAATAAATTTTATAGATTAAATATTCATACAATGAAAAAAAAATCAGCAAGAATTAGTATGCGTTTATCAAGTGCATTTGGTTTATCAGCACATACAATTGATGAACAATTTAATTTTCAAGAACAACGTTTTCGTGCTATTGAAAAATTTTCAAAATTATTTCTACGAAATATTTATTTATGTGTTGAAGCACTTAAGGTAAATTTAAGTCAATTATAAAAATAACAGAAAAAAAACAAACAAATGACTTAAGTTAATCGTTAAAAATTATGAATATAGTCTTTAGAAATAATATTAAATCAAGTTTCAATCCTCAAAAGTCATATTACAATAATGACGCAATCAGAAAATATGTTAAAAGAGAAGAAGTTCAACCGCTTGACCATGTCTACAGAGTGGATAGAGACTCTTGAATAACACTTCTACAGAAGCCTCAAGGCTCTTTTAAAGTGGATATCAACATTTTGAAAGGATGGGTAGTAGAATTCAAACTTTGCGAACTCGGACACAATAGACGGATACTGTCAAAGGCAACAGTCTGATTATTAAAACATGTTTGCTTTCGACATTTTTTTTTCTAGTTATGCTGATCCAAACTTATTTGTAATTTATTTTGAATAGAAAATATTATTCATTTATTAAAAATAACAACACACCCGTCTTACTTATTCCAAATTGATGACATAAATCTCAAAGAATTAAGTCTGATTCTATTAAAACTCTATCTATACATATCATCAACTAAAAGATTTTTTTAGTAATACTACTAAATGAATTTTTTTAAATATTTTTTATGACCAAATTAAAAAAACAATTCAATTCTTCTAGGAAAGTTATATAACACAAGTTGATATCGCCGAAGATTTCGAAGAATTATTAATTGATAAAATACCTGATTTAGCTCAACAATTTCTTCGATTAAAACTTTTATTACTTGAAAATACGTTTACAGAATTTGTAAGTATATTTTTCTTTATATCCCAACTGAATATACTGAGTTTCGAATATCCTACTAGTAGTATTGTCATAGAAACTAGACGAATATCAATCAATCCAATAAGCTCTAATGAATCCTGTGATATACTAGTAACAAGTTACTTTCTTAAAAAATGATTCAGTACATTCACTACAAATCTTTGTTGTTTTTATTTTCTGTTGCTTAGAATAATTATTTTTCTTTTTTAAAACAGTGTAATCATATTGAATTATATGTTGTTCAATCAATAAATACTTTAATACAATTATTTATTCGACCAACAAATCTTATAGCTAAGAGACATAAAAAATTATTAGATTATGATAGTGCTCAATCAGCTTATGAAAAAGTTAAAGATCAACAATTAAAACAAGTATATTAAAAAAAAACAAAATCTATATGTCATTTATTTGTTTTTTTTTCTTCTCTTTTATAATTTTATTCAAACAAAACAAAAAATAAAACTCTAGGCTAAACAAGCACTTAATTTATCGAAAGAAACATATGAATTATTAAATAATCAATTATTAGAAGAATTACCTCTTTTATATGAATATAGTTGTCAAATAATATCAATATGTTTAAAAGAATTTATACATGCACATTTATATTTAATACAACAGACACGAATAAATATTCAAATTATTCTTAATCAAGTATGAATATATATATGTAATTTATTTTATATTCTAATTAGAAATTCTTTTTAAAAAAAAAAACAAATAGATAATACCACCTGTTAATTTTCAACAATTAAATTGGCAACAAATTGTTGATCGTTTTCTAGCAAAAAATAATTCCGTTGCTGAAAAATTAAATCAATTAATAATAACATCAAAGAATTTTTCTGAAAAAACAAAAAATTTATCAACTACACAATTATCTTCATTAATAAATAATCTTTATAATTATGATAAAGTTTGTTTTGTTTTTTTTCTTAAATATTTTATTGAAGTTATTATTTTTTTTTTTTTTTGTCTATCAAATAGAAAACATATATACAAACAAATGAAATTCGAAATTTATTAAAAAATAATTATCCAGAAAAAGATTTATTTATTGTTATTCAAGATTATATTAATAATTCTTGTAATAATCAATCAACAAATTCAAAATCAGATATTATTGTTCGAAATGTAAGTAAAATTATTAAATAATCTCATGTAATTCAAACTACACAAAGATCATTGGTATAAACGTCTGTATAATTGATCTCAGGTTTGAAAATTTTGTACCCAAAAAAACTCTAGTCGATATACTAACAATCAAATACTTGAACAGTCGACTACGTTCTGACTGTTATTCTCCCGTAGGTTTACCGATAGATGTTCTCTTGTTGGGAATCTACTACAATAAATAAAATTGATATACATTGGTCCAATATCTCTATATTATGAGTAGTCAAATTTTCGATAGGAAGTATACTTTACATAAATTCTCTAGCTCTACTACAATTAGACAAGAGCGAACGGTTTAGATGTCAAACTATTGCTGATCGATTGTCGACATACCGACGGTTTTCATTAGTGGCGTAACCAAGGTTGGGCACCGCCCAACCACTTGACATTTAGGCGATGCTAAGTCTTATCACCTTCAAAATCCTAGTTACGCCACTAGTTTTCGTCCACTTTGACTCACATACATATTGTAGATCGATTGATAGATTTTAGTCTTTGCATAAAATGTTTAATCAATTTGTGTCTATTGATAAGACATTGAAAAGAATCAAAAGTAATCAACTAGAATGAACTGTTGTCTTGGCTTAAATTTAGTTCATTTAGAACAAATGTTTGATAATAAAGGAAACTGACGTTTGTACAGAACGTTAAAATTAAAGGTGTCGGAAAGTATATATGCACATTTTTCAGACATATAAATGTCATGGAAGAAGATCAAAAGCAATGATTTATTGAGCAGAATTTGTTGCCAATGGTTGAATAGTTGTGAGCAAATATATAAATAAATC